GTGTTGCTCTTGTTATCAATGTTATCAAAGAGCGATGTTAGGGTGAGAGTGCGAGATGCGTATACAAGCTCAACAGTACAAATTTTGACAAGAATGATAGAAGGCAAAACTGCGCCAAGTAATGACGTGACTTCTTTGGTTTAGACTTTGACAGTTGTCACTGACAAGCACTAAAAAGACAAATTTTTGGAGGTGACGTCATAATTTTTACACATTTGTTTTTGTTTCAAAGCTGCCCCCATGCATTTGATAGCCACATTCTATAGCTTACGGCGTCACGATGGCGCAATTTTGTTACTATAATGCTTGGTTTTTGACGAAAAAATCTTTTTCATGTATGTATATAATCCATTCTTCTATATACTTTTAAATAATTTTATTTAATTAATTGTCTAAGCCGGAAAATACATACTCATCCCTTGCCCTTTTTAAACTCATGTCTTTCCCTTTTCAAAATCAACCTTGCCGAGTGCCTGTCGCATTGACTTACTGTTGACAGTTAAAGTCAACCCTTTTTCGCTGCGCCAGTGTCTGGTATTTAATCTGCGCTTAGATTTCTTTATAGCTAAAATTTTGTTAGTTCTTCATGTAAAGCTTCTTAAATATATGTAAGTGTATATTATTTTTATTTTTTTATTTTAAGCATTTTATTTTCATATTTTTTTTTTTTGTTGCATAGCTTTTAAAATTTTCGTTTTGTGTTGCTCTTCAAGTTTCGCAGAAAAAATGGATGGATAATTTATTTGCTTATATTTCGTTTATGTTATTTGCATAAAAAATTTTTTTTAACTAACAAATTCGCAGTAAGAATTTAATTCATCCATATAAAAATGTTGCGCCCTTTCTTCCTTAAATATAGATTTTCTTAACCCTTGTAGTTTTTTTTTTACAGTTTTTGGGAGTTTTCATTGCATTAAATATTTGTTTTAACTACGCGCGTAATATTATAGACTGTATATTAGGGTGGGTAAAAAAAAAAAACAAAATTTTTATCGCTTTGTAGACTGAATAACAGGTCCTTAGGCAACTCTACGAAAATGTTTACGAGAAAGTGCGCTGAAATGTCACGGGAAGGTGCTTTGTCTTAAAGTTTTCTACTTTTTACTTTTTTCTTTTAAAGTGTGGTCTGTTAATTGTAGTGGGAGGATCCTTCACTTTAAAGTGTCTACTTTTTACTTATTTTTAGATAGAAAAATTCATATTCTTGGAGAATAGTAAATTTTCTACGAAACTGGGATTAAAGTGACTTTTTTCAATTGAGTTATAAAAATCATATGAAAAAGCTTGCTTTAAAAAGTCAAACTTCAATCGTTAGTATCTTCTAACACTTTAGAAGGCTTACGAAAAAATTATAAGAGACGATTTTGTAGAATACTCAATTTCCAATCAATCAATTAAATTTTTCTAACTGATGATAAAAATATAAAAACATAGAAAAAGTAGAATCATAGTAAAAATAGAAACAGAAAAAATAGAAGCATAGTAAAAATATAAACATAGAAAAAAATTTAAACATAAAAACATAGAAAGGAATTGTAACATAGCAATAATAAAAACATAGAAAAAATAGAAACATAGAAAATATAGAAACATATAATAGAATCCGTTACAATTAAGACCTCATATTTTTAGAATTTTCCACAGAGTTGCCTAAGCACATACATATTTCTCAGTATACTAAGCACACAAAATTGTTTTTTTTTGACCCACCCTAATGTATATGTAAACTATATGCTTTACCTTTCCATAAACATTATGAAATTAGAGAAGAACTGAGGAAAGACTTGCTAATGTCAAAAAGTGTACACCTAAATACGAGTTTTACATATGTATGAATGAAAATAATGAAAGCATAATGACACAGGATAAAACAAATACCATGTGGCATAAATTAATGTGCAGACGAATAGCTATATATTAATTAACGGTTTCACAAATGAAGCAGAAATTACGCTAAATAATTGTCGGCATTTTTTCTTACACAAAATGAAACAAAGAAGTATTTTTTGGAAGACTTTGGTCGTAAGTATGGGACAACTACTGCTTATAAATAAATATATGTATTATATGTATATAAAAAAGAAAAGCCGAAAGGCTACGTGTTATAACTATAACTATGTATATACTCGTATTATATGCATGTAAGGGTACTATTGCTATATGTGTGCTTATAAGGGAGGGTCTGCTAGCATAACAATATATGTTTACATGTAACTTTAGTGTATTGATATATAAGTGAATTGCTCATTAAATGCTATATAATCGCACACTACTTGTTCAACTACAGATGGTTTATATAATATACTATATATGTATATATTTATATTAATATTTTTATGTGTGTAAGCTAAACAGTTGGTAATTAACGTCATTATTGCGGAACTAGTGTGTGAATCAAGGCTATAAACTACATCGTGTCTATATCGTATATATATACTAGTACAAATATGTAGATATGGCTAAATATTGCACGCATGTCCAGGCTGTATTAATTTGTGTTTAAAGTTTTTTACGCTCAGTACGCTCTGTGAAGTGCTAAAGAAGCTACATATATTCTGACAAGATTTTGATGATGGCAGAATTGCATTTCGGCATATAATTAAGTTTGTGAACCATATTTTCTTACATAATATACTATAGTGCTTTAAATTTAACAACACTCTGCAGCACGATTTTTGGTCTGCATGAGTACTGATAAATTTTTGTTACGGGATTTTGTAAATTTTATACTTTTTTCGTGGATGCAATGCTTTATTAGGCATACATTTGTAGTAGGTCTGTTGTCACTATGCTCAAGTATAGATTGGTCATCTATGAGGTTTTCAAAATAAGATTTTGGCTAGTTAAGTTGTATATTGGTAGGACTGAGAATAATCATTAATATTCTCGTTAGTTAATTTTAAATTTTTTGGGTACGGATATTCTGGTCAACAATTAAAAAAAAAAAAAAAATCAATTAAAAAAATCGATTACTAAAAACAAAAAAAGCGGTTTGTTTTATGTTTTCAAAGTTTATCTATTGAAGTATACGTCTACCGAAGGATTTTTCAAAATTTAAATTATTTTTGGAAATATGCTACATGTGTTTTGTTAACCCAACATCCGAACTGGTTCTGTTGAAATTGACACTCTAAATTCCTTTTACTAGAAACAGTATTTTCTAAAACAATACCCATTGTTTCTGAGGTGCTACTGAACCGGGTTAACCGAAATTTTGAGAAAGTTTTTATTTTTTATTTTTTATTTTTTTTTTTTTAATAGACTTATCAATGAATGAATTATCTGAAACTATAAAATGAACCGGTTCAACTGATATTTTAGAGAGTATTTCTTATAGACATCTCTATGTCTGAAACTATTCATAACATCAATTAAAATTTTTACTGTGTTAATAAATTCGAAATACTAAAATAAGATGTACAAAAAATATTTTTTTTTGTTCAGGTAGTAGCCTTTTCGCGTTTTTTTTTTCAACTGTTTGGTGAAACCGCACATTGCAACATTATGCGTGATCAAAAATTTTTTTTTGATTTTCCATTGATAGGAGCGTTGAAATCACTGGTAAGTTCATATGCCAATGTTTTGAGACTCACATCAGTAGCTTTTAGATTTTTGTTGTATCCTGCATTCTTGTAGAATATCCCATATATTTTTGAAAACGTGTGTAGCAATGATCAATATAAACTATTAAGTTTATATACATCAATAGCTGTGGTTCCGTAAATTAAATAAAAGTAATAAAAACAACTAAAAACATTACAACCGAACCTGGAAGCCATAATATCCTTAACGAGTGCGTTTTTTATAATATAAAATATATAAACATTTTCTCGGAGATTAAAGAAATGCTTTGGGTAATAAGCTATGCCATTTTTCATGAAGATACTTTGACAAATAAAAAAAGTTTTCCATGCAAGGACTTGAGTTTGATTCTTCAGTTTGTGTGACAGCTATATGTTATAGTCTTCCAATCTGAAAAGTTCCTTTGGATATATGAGCGCTACCTTGGATAATAATCCATATCGATTTTCATGAAGGTAGCTTGTCAAATAAAAAAGTTTTCCATATAAGGACATGATTTCGATCGATCAGTTTGTTTGACCGCTATATGCAATAGTTGTCCAATCTTAACAATATCTTCGCATATTATACCGTTACCTTGGGCAATACTTCGTGTCAAATTTCGTATATGTAGCTTAACATATAAAAAGGTTTTTCCTACAAGGACTTGAATTTGATTCTTCAGTTTGTGTGAGAGCTATATGATATAGTGGACCAGTCTGTTTGGTTTTTCCGGATATATTAGTAATATCTTGGTTAATAATACATGTAAATTTTCGGGATGGTAACTAGTAAAAAAGGCTTCAGAATTTACAAGAACTTGAGTCCGACTGGTCAGTTCGTTTGACAGCTATGCCCCATAGTAGTCCAATATGCAAGGTTACGACAAATTAGAAGTTTGTTGGGGAGAACACGACATGTGCAAAGTTTCAGATTGATAGCTCAAAAATTGAGGGTCTGGTTTGCGTATATGCATAGGACTTGGTTAAGTCGTCTCCGCACGTGCTGATTATTTATACACCTAATTTAAAGGGTCTCCGACGTTTTTTTCGAGATATTACGAACTTCGTAGCAAACTTAAAATATTTACCCTCTTAAGGGTAAGTATAATAAAAATCAAACTGTGAGTTCGTGAATAATAAATTTCTTAAAGGAAATTTTAATGATTAACGTTATTTTTCTACTTTATCAAAGAAGTTTTTAGCATGCTGTAATCCAATGGAATCTAGCAAAAACACGTATATCGAAAAGTACTAAGAAAAGAAAAGTTCATTTAATAAAACAAAATGTTTGTCATGTTCTCACTAAAATTTGCAAGAAAACTATATAAAATAATTCGATAAAAAAACTTTTGTTGTAAAGTTTCAAAACATCAAAAGTTTGTGTTGCTTTTGGTAAATGTTGCAACAAACAGATTGTAGTTATATGATAAAGGAACTAATAGGTGTTCGAATATCAATAGTCAAATGAATTTCAGAATTTTTGTATGTTGAATACTGTGTATATTGCATATTGTAGGTTATGTACGTATTTATGTGTGAGCAGTTTTATTATGAGATCAATTCATTTAGTGTTATTAAAGTAAAACATTCTTAAATGACTATAGCTATAAAGCTGTCGACTTAAGTGATTATACAAATGACTGTTTACAACCGCAACTTCTAGAAGATCAAAGTTCTACTTCGGTAACTGCATTTTTAAACTTTATTACTAGCCTAAGACGACTTTTCGAGTGAAATAACGAACCAACAATCAATCACAAAAGCCAACAAACAAGCGAACGAACGAACGAACGAACAACGACTACCAACGAGTATATTCCTACGACTATTTTCAACTTGATTTATGGATTTACAAACGTACGAGCACATATACTACTATATACGAACTAACTGCTGAAGCTACGAATAGTTACGTAAGTTGTGGGCTTAAAATTTTCTACTACTTCGAGCATATACGAGTACGCTCCAAGAATGTATGTGTTTTTAAGACGGCGCTAAGCTAACGGTCGAGTGTTCGACTAGCATCGATTGGATAGAGCACTTGAATTTGTGCCTCGCTTGATTGGTAGGCTCAGACTTCTATTTTCGTTTTTTCGATCTGGTTGCGCGGATTGGATTGATCTTAACCTGGTATTTTCGGATTGCTGGCTGGTGGCTGGTAGCGATAACGTAGGCTAGGCTTATTCAAGCACTTGACTAAGGATTCGTGTGCTAGACGTCTGATTAAAAGTTAATATTTCCTAAAAATTGCGATTTAATTGCAGCTGTACGAGTTAGCGCCGTTGCTAAAGGCAGCGTTAAGGCCGCTTGATGTTGGTAGCCTGTGGCAGGTTGCGTATTAACGGTGTTGCCGCTACCATTGCCGGGCCTGCGACCACCAGTTTGGGCCGCGGTACTACAGGTACCAAAACTTCTACCGATTCCACATATTGTTAAGCCTATAACAAAGCGAAACAAAAAAGTACACAAGTCAAAAGTGTGTGCATGTGTGGCATTTGAAACCAAAATGTGAACAAATTGTGTTATCTTAGAATGGTTTTATGCAAATACATATATGTAGATTATCGAAAATTATAACAAACTTACTGCTCAAAATAAAAAAGATTCGCTGAAAAATGGAAAATTAAAAAGAAAGTGGTTTGATCAATGTAAGGGATATTGTATTGAGTTATATAATTATGTCAAATAAATATTATGACTATATCTAGGACATCTCATTCCTGTTAACTTAATTAGCCTAGAACAAGAAAGGAAGTAACATTTAATATTCTTCCACTGTTTAAAGCAAAAAAGATGGGGCATATTTTTAAATGTTGGCAAAACTTTATATGTATTGAAAACCGAAAAAAATGGTAGACTAAAGCTAGAATACTCTTCTTAAATACAAAATATTCCTTAGAAGAACTTTGATCGGTCAGCTTGTATGGCATATACATTCTATGGTGGTCCGATTTGAATAATTTACTCAGAGATCTAATCGTTGCCTTAGACCTAAACTAACCTATTTAAAGTTCCTAAAGATATTTCGTCACATAAGAAAGTTTTCCGTACAAGAACTTGATTTTGAAGTTTCATTTTGTATGACAGCTATATGCTATATAGTTCGAATCGGCGGTTCTGACAAATTAGCAGCGTATTGGGGAGACAAATTTCAGAACAATATCTCAGAAACTGATAGGCTAGTTTGCGTATATACAGATGGACGGATAGACGGACATGGCTAAATCGAATCAACTCGTCATATTGATTGCTTTTACATATATATTTTATAGGAACTGATAAGGAGCAGGTATCAGCTTCTTCGTAGAATATGGTCGGACGAAAGCATGCCCGACGATTAGAATTTATCCACAAAAAGGTGGATCCCACAATCAGCGTCAACTGCCAAGGGCAAAGCCTTCTCAACATCGTATATAAGGTTCTATCGAGGGTACTGTGTGAAAGGTTAAAGTCCAAAAAACTTGGAACTTATAAGTGTGGCTTCAGGTCTATGAAATCAACAACTGACTAGCCATTTTCAGCAATCGCTATATCTTAGAAAAGATGCGTGGAAAAAGAGATCGACACACACCATCTCTTCGTCGATTTCAAAACTGCTTTTGGCAGCACGAAAAAGAGCTGCCGCTATGTCTGAACTTAGTATCTCCGCAAAACTAATACGGCTGTGTAAACTGACGTTGTCAATATCAAAAGCTCCATAAGGATCGAGAAGGACCTCTCTGAGCCGTTCGATACCAAACGAGTTTCAGACAAGGCGACTCAATAACGTAAGACCTTTTTAATATACTGTTCGAGAGAATAATTCGAGCTGCAGAGTTGAACAGAGATCTACTGTAAGAGTGTACAGCTGCTGGCGTACGTCGATGTTATGGATACCATTGTTCTTAACAATCGCGCCGTTAGTTCTGTTTTCTACAGACTTGAAAAGGAAGCAAAGCAATGGATATGGCATGAACTAGGTTAAGCTCTCGCTACTTAGCTCCCGCGTCACTGTTGATAGTCATAACTTTGATGACTTATTATTTTCGTCTATCTTGGGACCAGCATTAACACCAACAATACGGCCAGTCTCGAAGTTCAACGCAGAATAACTCTTGCCAACAGTTGCTACTTGGAACTGAGTAGGCAATTGAGAAGTAAAGTCCTCTCTCAACGAACAAATACCAAAATCTACAAGTCACCCATGATCCTGTTTCAGCTATATGGTTTAGAGGCATGCACGATATACAAGATCTAATGAGTCGGCGTTAAGCCGTTGTGAAGACCAGGTGGAAAAGACCAGGTCACACCTGGAATCTCCAAATGTAGGCAGTTTCTTCGCCAATAGAGAAGAAAAAGATATTATCGGCTTTTCCTTTTGTGTGTTAAAAACATTGTGGCCAACTTAATATACCCTGTTCAGGTAAGATAGAAAAGAACCAGAAGCATTACAATGTGCAGCAAACCTCAAAACCTTAAAAAACGGATAGTGGACCCACCAACTTATTCCGGACATGAATACTGAGTGGACATAAATTCGTTTGAAGTTATTTGCTCGACGGTATGGCATTGACAGCAGATTAGACGTACATTAGTCCGTGTAATAAAGGAATCTTAGAGTATTTTTGTCATCCATGAAGTAAACCTTAAATCGGTAGCTCCGTGGGAGAGATATGAGTTGGGAGTAGGTTTGGTTTAGCGCATTAAAGTTCCGCAATCCGACTTTTGATGCTTCTTCCTACTATAAAATTATTATCTTTAAGAGCTACCTTTTATAAGTCTGGTGGGACTGGCATATACATATGTATATCAAGCCTATTATCGTAGTTCTTGTTGTTAACATAATATGGTGGATCATTCTGAAATAAATATATGAATACGGATGTAAATTACCAAAAAAAAAAAAAAAAAAAAAAAAAAAAAWAAAAAAAAAAAAAAAAAAAAAAAAAAAAAAAAAAAAAAAAAAAAGATATTAAGAACTGTTCACAATGAAGAAATTCACAACAGATTCCAATATCCAGTTCCGTTAATTATTGAAAACAAAGTTCTTTTCTTAATTTGACATTAAAATGATTCGCTTTTTATTTTTTTTTTTTATTTCATTGTAAATCAACATTGCAATATTATGTTTAGGCCTTAATGAATTTAGATACAAAATTTAATATTCGACGTCGACTTAAACTGGTATGTACATATGTATGTATATAAAAATAGATATACATATTTAGCGAGATATATTTTATAGGTTGAAGTTTGTTTTACGTATTTTTCGATTTATCTAGCACATACCTAGTTTAAACCTAGCATATACATATGTATTCGTGTAACGATTAGTTCTGGGCATTAAATTATTTTTTCAAACAAAAAAAAAAATCGTATAAATATAATCATTTAAGCCGAGAGAAAGGAAAAAAAAAACACTTTCCAATTGTACCAAATGACACCGTGCTAATAGTCCACTTCTTGCGGAAGTAATTCAATTATAACGGTAGTTACATATGTGCGATAAGCGGCACATATTCTTTGGTCTAGCCTTTATGTTGTCGTTGTTGCCGTCGGCGTCGTCATCGTCATATAATCGCCGATGAGTATGCGATTATCGGGCACCACCCCCATTACACCAGCTTTGCGACCGAAAGCGAACCATTGAGTGAGCAGATGCGTCACCAAGGATTGATAATGCAAGTGACCGTTCGGTAATGCGAGGTTGCAGAAGCGAAGCACATTCGTTAAACGTATATAAAAATGAAATGAAAAGAAATAAAAAGAAAATTTCAATTAAAAACCAAATTAAAAATAAAATTAATAATTTTGAATAATACGAAAATGCTAAGAAATAAAAATAATGGTCTAAAGTGTAGGCGATCAATGCAAAATAATGCGTTGGTTTAGTGGCAGTAAAGGTCCATGAGTCTTGACAAATATTTACGAGTATTAGGAGTTGGTTCACACAGAAGTTTTCATGAAATTATCAGTACGATTTATGTTTCAAATTTTTTACTCGATGTTAGGTAAATTGTATTATTTAGTTTTGCAAATTCATGTCCATCTTAGCATACATATATACCTTTGGCTTAAGAGTTGCAGCCGTAGAACTTTCAATGACGGTCTATCTATGTACATAACGGTCTAATATGTGAGTTTGTACAAGCCTGTCTATTTTCATTTAAAAGTGCTTTCGATTACGCGATATTTTGTTATTAATAATACAAAAAGTATATGTTAATCTTCACAATGTTTGTGAAAACTATGCATTCAGCAAATGAGAAGTAATTTAACATTCAGTGAAAGAGTTGATCTAAAAGCGATAGCTTTCTTTGTGTTGTGCACAAATTTAAAGTAGATCATCACAGCACAGATCGACGAGCATCCCCATAATTGTGACTAGTCCCGATATTTCAATCTTAGTTTGACAAACGCCGAGAAATTTAGAAAGAAGTGACAAGGGGATTCATCCCGCCTTCCTTCATACAGCTTTGCAGAAGAGCGTTTGACAATATTACTACCCTCACTGTTTTGATCTTGGTGGATATTTTGTGTATGAACCGCGTGCTTGTTTGACTCGTCCCGGTAAAATTGAATTTTAGACATGCTGGATCATGCGAATCCCGATCACATATTCACGAAGTCGAAACCAAAAAAAGCAGGCCGCAGCCGCTCAAAAATTAAGCGTGAGAACATCCATCGAAAATCACAGGAATTGTGGAAGAACTATTCATTGCTTTTACTTGACCATAATGCACCATCGCACCGAACTACGATTGTGGTCGAATTTAAAGCCAAAAATGCAGTGATTGATTATTGATCTACCATCATATTCAGCAGATTTGGATAGGTGTGATTTTTTCTTTTTCCCCAAAAAGGAAATTTTCGCTCCGTGGAATCGGATTTTAGATAAATAAAAAATAACAAGGAGATAAAGGAAACTTCTCTAAAGGGAAGGGAAGACATTCCCTAAAAGTGCTTATGAAAAGTGTTTCTAGAGCCGGAAACATCGTTGGCATAAGTGTATGATATATTATATATTTTATAATGCAATATACTCTAAAGGCGGAAAACTGTGCTGATCATATTAAACCGTATTCCGATATAAAACATCCTGAATACCTTTCTTTCAATATCAATATTTCTTTTCTGTAGGAAATAGTGTATTCCTTCAAAAGTGAAGCCGCCATACAGTCTGTTTCACTTTATTGTAGAAAACTTTTGGTGAGTTGCCAACAAAATGCTAACTCAGCGTTTTAGGATGTTTTTTATGTTAAAATGTTAGTTTAGTATTGTTGCTTTTTCTTTCTTTCAGAAAATGTATATTATCAATCTAATAAACTACTTTTCTTACGGATCACAGGAGAGCGGGATGATAAGTGCAATGGTTTAGCCTGATATGTGGGTCAGTGGAATCATTGGTGGATATTTCTTCTTCAAAAATTATGTCGCTGAACCTAACCGTCAATGGCGAGTGTTATCGCGCCATGACAATCGACTATGTGATAGCTGAAATCGAAGCTCGTGATCTTGGCGACATTTGGTTTCAACAAGACGACGCCACTTCCCACTCATCACAACAATCAAGTTATTTATTGAGAGGACACTTCGGTGAGCAGCTAATTTCACGTTTTTGGCCAACAAGATCGTGTGATATCAAACTGTTAGACTTTTACCTGTGGACATATGTAAGGTCTAAAGTATATGCGGAGAATCCCGCTCCGATTCAGGCCTTGCAGCAAACTTAACGCGTGTCATACGCCAATTACCAGTCGAAATGTTCGAAAGAGTCATCGAAAATTAGACTCTGTGACGTAGACGAGTGAAGGATATAATCTTTAAAAACTAATGCCAAGGAATAATCTATGGACTGCTAATAAACATTCTTCATTAAATTTGAAGTTTCTGTGTTTTTATGTAAAAAAAAAAGTAGGGAACCTCGAAATGGATCACTCTATGTTAACAATAGGGATACTTTTACTTAATTTATTGATTGACACATTCGACATGGAATATGCTATCATAATTTCAGAAACGTTTTTAAGCATTTTCTGCATTAAACGCTAGTATACCCAATATTATATGGTTTTATATGCTACAGCGATTCTATATCAGCGGTTTCGACAAATGACCTGCTTCTTATTGGGAGAAGAGCGTATTCAAATTATTGAATCGATATCTCAAAGACTGAAGGATGGATTCACGTATAATCAGACGTACATGTTTCGTAGACTCATCATTTATATCGTATTTTATAGGCCTCCGACATCTCCTTTTAGATCTCGGAAAGTTCGTGGGATATGTTAAATATTGGCAAATAGCTAACACATATAATATTTCGTAGAGTTCTAGGTAATATAGTACTAAAGTAGAGATACAAATAGTTCTGTAAACGCGAGGTTAGACGCCGACACCTGCATGTATAATACGTATATAGAGCCTGTATAACCGTTGAACACAGCGGTAGTTTTATCAGCCACTGCTTGGCCCTGAAGCTTCTGAATGTGTTCGGCATTGAAATAAAAGGAAACATTTCAAAACGAAAATAAAGTTGAATAATAAATGTGGCACGAAAGAAGTTTTGGGAATTATATGCGCAAATATGCTCACATATACACGCATTCATATGCGCGGATATAGTTTCTGGCTATGTATTTGAGGTTAGGGTAGGGAGTACAAGTTGAGAGTAAGGTAATAGTAAAGTTATCATTATACATAGTACTCAAGGATGCCACATTTGTGTGCTTGTTAAAATATTAGTATGCGAATGCAGTATGTTTGTGAATGTAACGTTCCTGTAGTAGTTGAGAGTTCGTAACATAAATGCTCTTGTGGCTGTGTAAGTCTGGGTGTGTCTGTATGTGTGCACTTTTTGCGTTTTTAAAGTTGAAGCTTGTACTCACCAGCAGGGTAAGGCAAACCGAAGCTTGGATATCCCGAATAACCACGTCCAGCTGCATAGGCTGCATAGGCGGCTGCCGGAAATCCTGTTAAAATGAAGAACAAAATGAATTATGCAACATAGTTTGAGCGAAGGCAAGCAAATATGCGCTTATAAAATGTACAAGTTGAAGTTGAAATAAAGAATAAACACGACGAGTTGAAGACGAGATTATTTTGATTATTTTATGTGTGTGTGTAGCATGTACTTGAAGCATAGTAAAACAAGAGGCAATCAAAGTTTATGCAAGCAATTGAATTATCATCAAGATTTCCAGAAGATCTGCTCTCCTCTGCTTCTAAGATGTTTGTGGCTTTGTCGAGCGCAAATTGCACAGAGCTGCGGTTGTTATGCACACATAAGCAGCAACATTTACATATTCATAAGTATGTATTTGCATATTTAAGTTCGATTCGAAGTGAGTCTACGACAATGAAAAGCGCAACCACCAAGGCATGTAGCCTGGTTATATATTTTGCATGCTGATGCTTGTAAGCGTTTCTTCCGGCTTCCGTTTGCTGGAATATGGCATTTGCATTGCTTGGATTGTAAATAATTAACTGCATGGGAAATTAACAGTCCGGTTTTCATATGGCTCCGAATGCATGAATTCAATATGTTAAATAAGGCCTACGGTTTATACATAGACACTGACTTTCATATGCGTGCCATACGTAGTTAACTGCATGTGAGTATATTTGTGAATGCAAAGCAAATTTAAATCAAAAGCCAACGGAAGACCAGCTGGAGACTTGAGAGCCATTTTGTTTTAATGAATGCTATATCGAGAATGGCTCCGGACATATTTATTAATTGTTTTCAAATATGCTTACGAAGACGCATGCGTCTGTAAATACTTAGCAATAGCTGTCATTAAACTCTAATTGCTTGGATTCTGCAGTCAGCAGAAATTTAAATGCAAACTCTCGCTGAAGGCGTGCTAATAAAGCTGATTTGACAAAAACCACAACACGTGCGGGATGGAATAGATACCGGGAGTTGAAGGAGAGGTCACGAAAAGAGAGATGGCGGAATGTGTGAGTACGAAGACCTCAACAAGCTAGTCGATAGGAGCAATGTCTAAAATGCTACGAAAAGATGAAACAACTAAGACTTCAAGACGGCAGCATACTCTTGTAGAACCAACATCGGTTATCTAGTGGGTGATGTCTAGAGCATACTGAAATTATGGACGAAACTCTTTCCCAGCCTGTTGAATGCCAGGAGATGGTGAATACGATTTTCAATCGATGACGATGGAGCGAACGTTCTATTGCCCACTTATGAAGGAGTTCGAATAGCTATTACCCGCCTGAAGAACAACAATGCGGCAGGGTCTGATGTATTGTCGGCCAAACTATTCAAATACGTCAGCGAAGAACTGGTAACGAGAATGCATCAGCTTCTTTGTAGAATATGGTCGCACGAAAGCATGCCCGACTAAAGGGATTTAAGTTTGCTTTGCTCAAACCACAAAAGGGGAGACTTCACAATCTGTGCCAACTACCATGGGATAAGCCTTCTCAACAAATTCCACCTCTTCGTCGACTTTAAAGCTGCCTTTGACAGCATTATGCCGCCTTATCTGAATTTGGTATCCCAGAAAAACTAGGCCTTATTTAAAATATTGTGTAAACTGACGTTGAATAATAATAAAATCTCCTTCAGGATCGGGAGGACCTCTCCGAGTCGTTCGATACCCAATGAGGTTTCAGACAGGGCGACTGCCTATTGCGCGTCATCTTAAATCTACATCTGGAAAAAATAATTCGAGCTGCAAAGCTGAATAGGGAAGGTACTATCTTCTATAAGAGTTTACAGCTGCTGAGGTACGCTGAAGATTTCGATATCATTTGCCATAACATCCTTTCTCCAGGTTGGATAAGGAAACGAAGCAAATAGGTCTGATATTGAACGAAGGCAAGATGAAATAGCTCCTGTCATCAAACAAGCATTCATCGCATTCGCAACTTGGCTCCCAGATCACTGTTGACAGTCATAACTTTAAAGTCGTAGATAATTTTGTCAATTTTGGAACCAGAATTAACGCCAACAACTACTTCAGTCTCGAAATCAAACGCATAATAACTCTTGCCAACAGGCGCTACTTCGGACTGTGTAGTTTCCTTGGAAAGACCAGGAGCCAGGTCAGTCGCCCTGGTACTGTGGAGACCTACTGGTCTTCAGTAATGCCAAATGAAGGCTCAGTTTAATTGGAGCTATGCATGCAGAGAATAGTGAATCGTTGTATCAGGACGGTTTTCTGACTGAGTTTTTGCCGGCAGAGATCTACCACACCAAAGCATCATAAAGCAATATTGGCTTGACTACCACGCTGTACCACCAAGGTATGAGTCCAGGTAATAGGAACCATGTAAACCCAAACTGCATTAAGTTTCCACATCAGCTTGCTATCTAAAATGACTGATAGGTACTTGAAATGCTTCTTAATTATAAATCCCGTTAGCTTCGGGGATTTCCATGTCGGTATGCCGATTGCCCCAATATGTCCAGAAATACACTTAGAGCATATTTCTTCTGTACTAAAGCTCCTTCTGGATATAGAGTTAGTGGGAGAAATGCAGTCTTGGTGGATCTGCCTTCCGTATGAGATTGCTGTGCTTTCGATAAGTTAGCCCAGAGAAACTTGTCTCTTATTTAGGCATCTAGAATTTTTTCAAGTGTCTTTAGAAAAAATGTGGTTAGACTTATTGTTCCATAAATCTCATGAATACGACCCTCGCATCTTCCCAAGACTACGTACGTTACGACGCAAGGCGGGAAAATTCAACCATAGGAATTGTTTTCTGCGTTGGCTTGGGAAATCAAGGTGCGACTTCCACACTTTTGACATATTATTTTGCCAAAAAAGTCTTGCGGTATTTTTGCTAGTTGGCGCTGAGAGCGCGTAATTCTAGTTTTATTCGTCGCATCGGGTCATGCTACACCTTTTTGGAAAGCTCATTACACGCGCTAACACGTGTTTGATTGATTGTCGTTTCTTTTAAGTCGTTCGTGAGTTATAGCGTCGCAAACATGGAGAAAAATAAGGAGAAAATACGGCATATTTTACAGTACTACTACGATAAAGGCAAAAATGCATCTCAAGCCGCCAATAAAATTTGTGCAGTTTATCGACCCGATACAGTTTCCATTTCCACCGCACAACGATGGTTTCAACGTTTTCGTTCTGTTGTAGAGGTGGTTGAAGATGCGCCACGCTCCGAAGGCCTGTCGCCGAAAATTGCGATAAAATCGCTGAAATGGTCAAAAGAGACCGGCATAATAGCAGCCGTAGCATCAGTCAAGAGGTTGGTATGAGTTTTACTTTTTTTAGGAACAATTGAAAATTCAATAAAAATACCGCAAGACTTTTTTGACAAACTATTATTTGGTTCATATTTGTTAAGATATGATGTAGAAGGATGGTTTCCATTCCATTATGAAATCGGCTTATATGAGACTGGCGTGGATCATATAGCTTGTAAAATGTAATGCTTCTGACGTAATTATTCAAGTAGTTATAGATATAATCTTTATATGGGGAGTAGGTGTTATTGTTGTGCTTTGCACTAACAGAAGAGGTGTTAAAAATATTTCTTTTGAGTTAATTTTTTTAATATAGCTTTAGTAGTTTGTGATATATGTACATTAAATTTGTTAGGGAACGAAGCCAAATGCACTTTTTCAATCTTTTTGAACAACAGATGACCCTCCCATAACTTAATATCCAGTATATAATTTCAAGTTATTTTGATTAAGTAATACCCTTATTATGCCATATATACTCGTGGGAGTTCGAAATAATAATACATAACATATAATTTATACAAACAACAAAAATTAAAAATATTTAATAATCTGGAAATGGTGTTATTTTCGATCTCTTACTTACCGTCGGGTAGTGTCCCCAGTCCCCACATGATGTTATCTGTTGTGAAGGAAGGAAATAGAAAAGAAAACACGGTTTACATTAAAAAACCATACTAATTTACAATTTCAGAGTTTAAATATGAAAAACTCTAGTAGTCTTTCAAGTTTTGAGAATTTGTAAAAAATATATATGTTTATAACGTTTATGTTGAGTATATAAGTTACACTGATGCTAAGACTAAGAAAAAGAAACTGCGCTTAATGAATACAGACACTATAACTAGATTTTTTTGTTTTGAAATATTATGATAAAAACGCGCTACTACAAGTACATATATTGTTAACTAGTTATTAGATATGCTAATGATAAATATTGAATTCTTATATAATTATTACAAATTTGTTGCCTTTTTTCTTGCATTTAAACGAGACAGTTCATAACCTTGATTTGATGTAAAGCTTATAAAAAATTTTTAAACAAAATAAATGGCAGCAAAAAGCCGAAAATTCCAAACAAAAGTGTGTCACTTCCGTATATATTTGGAGTATTAGTTTTTAGCGCGCTTTTGTGCAAAAAATCGCTGTGAATGAGACAATGTTGTATTATTTGTCACAAGTTAGTTTGATGGTTTCAGTTTTGGTGAACATTTTTTTTTAAAATTCGGTATTGGCTTCCGTTGTGGAAATTAAAATAGAAAACGTGTTTAGTGCAGCGCGGTGTATCCGTGACGCCCTTACTTTACGATTTTGTCAATTATCAAGCAATTATTATATTTGTATTTAAGAATTAGAAAAACTTCAATACTCCTTGTGATCTGCGTGAGCGTATAAAATGCTCCAAACACTTAGATCCGTGTTTGAAAATAAAAATATTCTGGCAAGCTTGAACTAATATAATTTTGATTACTGATCCTCGTTAGTGTTTCATAACAATAATATTAATAAAAGTCTCTTAGACGCACTTAAATATAATTTTAAAACATGTTAGTGTTAGTGTTCAAAGTGTTATTCTGAATGCTAAAGCTATTTAAATTTAATGTTAAATTAAGTCTATTTATACATTTAAGTACCTACGATCGGACAAGTACGAGTTCTAACTAGTATAGCGTACACATTAATATTTATTGTATTAATCGTAAATCTAAGTTTCTGTAGTAGTGCAAAAGCAAATGTCAGCGGCGATGAAGTAGTGATACTTTTCAGATAACAAAATATTTCAATACATTTCGACGATGAATATTTCGGGGGGGAAAAAAAAATACAAAAAAAGTTAACTTTGGATACACCGTAGCTATAATATCCTTCACAAATACAAAAAATTCCATATAAGTATTTGAGATGGATCGTTAAGTTTGTATGATAGCTATATGTTATAGTGATCCGATCTGAACAATTTCTACAGATATTGTACCGTTGCCTTAGATAATAACCGTCGCCAAATTTCAGAAGGATATCTCGTCAGTTAAAAAGTTTTCATACAAAAACTTGATTCTGAACGTTCAGATATGATTATGGCAGCTATATGATATGGTGATCGGATCTAAACAATTTCCTAGGAAATGACAAAATTGTCTCTGTTTATACTCCATGTACAATTTCTTGAAGATATCTCGTTCAATAAAAGAGTTTTCCATACAAGCACTTCAGTTTTATCGGCAAGTTTGTATGACAGCTTTATGTAATAGTGATCCGATCTGATCAATTTATTTGAAGATTGTACGTATCTTTTAAATAATAACTCATACAAAATTTCAGAAGAAAAAACTCGTCAGATAAAAAAAATTTGCACAAAAAACTTGATTCTGAGCGTTCAGTTTGTATGGCTGCTATGTGTTGTAGTCGTACGAAGACGACCATTCCAACAAATAATAATCATTTTTGGTGAGAAAAGGGCAGGTGAAAAATTTCAGATCAATATCTAAGAAACTGAAGGACTACTTAAAAATTTCCTGTCAAACATAATATATTCTGTTTAGAGTATAAGATAACAAAATCCATTACGCCAAAATTTATCAAAACATTTAGGAAACTATAACACGTCAAGTTGAAATCAGCGCTTCCCACATTTGCCTCTGCACTCTACACTCTTCATTACAGACTACATTGTGAAGCTAAATTAATAATTTTCTATGATAATCGTTGACTTAAAACTATGCCAGCTACGGTTTTCCATTTTGTTGTTCGTATCGCTAATCGCTCGTTGCTTTCGACGCAGTTAACGCTACACGTACGCTTTATAGTGCGTGCCTAGTGCACGCCCAGCGTGTGTGTTGTAATAAAATGCTAATAGACAGACGGTATATAATTGTATTAAAGTTTGAAAAAAGTAAAGAAAAACTTATGCTAGTGACTAGATATATGTTGCTAAACACGGAATTACACATTGATTATAATACGAGTACGTTTACGATTCTTCTATGAAGTAATACATGTTCGTTTCGCATAGCTAATTAAATATTTTGTAAATATTCATTAATGATTGGAGAGAGTTACGAAGAGACGTGAGTGTTTCACAGTTAACACTAAATGTTGTTTTTTTACTCTAAAACACACACACACACACACATACGCACGTACACAACGAAGCAAAAGTGTGGCTAACCGATGCGCTCAATACGTGTCGCACATGCTTTGGCGCTGCTGCGAGCGACGCCGGCGAAGTGCGATGTCACGTATACGCCCCGTAGCCAGCACGTTGTACGCTTGTGCGGCTGCCGCTTAAAAGAACACACTACTAATTGTGATGTACAAAAAAAAAACACTAAAAAATAGAAAAAAATATTTAAAATATATAAAAAATATAAAATAATTGTAAAGCTAAATACATCTTATGATTAAGTTCACAAAAAAAAAAAAACTAAATAAACATATGGCATATATATATGGCGCGAAATATATAAAAAAGACACGCTAAGTGAGGCTACAAACTATGAAGCAAAAACCAAAAACGGCAACGGATGAAAACGTATAGGAAATTGCGAAATAAAATTGTAAAATAAAATGCCAGCTATAAGTCTCATACTACAAGTGAATGTTAAACGACTAGTGTGCTTCGGACAATTCCTGTACGTAGAGATAGAGGTAGTGACTGCTGCTCATTTAACTCTTCATGGCGCGCACGTGCCCTTTGCTGTTGGGTGCCTTCCGTTGGCTACCGTGCACCAATGCCACCGCTGGCTGGCGTTCTCGAGCAAAGGCGCCTTTGTTGTTAATGTTTGTTGTTGTTGTGCGCCACTTAATGGGCGACCACGCTGCTACGTGTCCCTAGCAATGCCCACACACGTGCCGCCGTGCATTTCCGCTCTGCCTCGGTCGCTGCCTTCACTTATGCCTTTTCAACGCGATTACTTTTTAAGTTATCATTTGAAGACACACGGCTCTTTTAAATTATATAACGCAATTACAATTTAATTTGGCAAACAAAGTTAAGTGGATAAATGCATGGCGTGGCAGCACATTCGTTGCCGTTCCCACTCGTGTTCGTTGCTACGACGGCTTTGCTAATGAGGCATAACTGCTTTCATGTGCGGCCGCTTCTAATCAACTGCCAACTGAAGAGCGCACTTCGTTGACCAGATCAACTTATTAGTACAACTATTTATAAGCACTTAGAAAAGAGACGAAAAGTAAATAAAATAATTGACGCATTTTACAAATGCGCCTTACAAACTACATATATACGTCTTCGTATTTTTTTAAAATACTTTAACAATATTGGCACAGCTATTTAGAGGATGACATTGAATTGGAATTTTATATAAATTTTCTAAACAAAACTAAGCATATATGCTGCAAAATTTAAGTAACTGCTGAGTTGTTGTTATCTATGTGAAAACATACCTAGCACGCATCACTTCCCGTCTACGTAATTGGTTGTGAATTGCTTAAAGTTAATTTATTTATAAAATTAAGTTGTGTGTGTTGCTTACGCGGCTTGCTATGTAAGCCTTTGAATTATTTTCGTAATTTTGTCCCGATTTTGCTTACTACGTACTTAGTAATGTATGTTGGAATCAATTCAAATTTCATGTTAGCGACTGCGTTTGGCTATAGACTACAATTTACATATGGCAAATTACCTCTACTCAGTGGTAATTAATTATTATAACTTAATTAAGTTTGGCGTACTTTCATTCATTTAAGTTGGCTGCTACTAAGCCCCTAATGCATGAATATTACAAACATTGGACAATACAAATTTATCTTGTTTCTAGCTACATACTTTTTGTATGTGTGTGTGTATAATAAATCTAGACCTAACAGTAACATTAGAACTGTTATGTAATTTTAGTATAAATTTACGGGTAAAACATTTAAGTTCACATTTTGATCAACTATTTTTTGTTTTATAAATATTCCGATAATCTCTAGCTTTTATTGCTGTTTTTACTGCTAAACCAAATGCTGTCTCAAATATGTTGCGGTGGAGCGCTAACTGTTGTATCAACCCGTTATGCAAGCTTATAGTTAGATGAGTGATACACTACAGCTTGCTATGAATAGTAATTTTGATCGTTCTCTATACAAGAGCCTGACTTGAACGTTCAGTTTGTATGTTCAGTTTCATGACGATATCTTGTCAACTATAAAAGTTTCCATAGAAGAACGTGACTTTCATCGTTCAGTTTGTATAACTGCTATTTGTTTTAGTTGTCCGATCTGAACAATTTTTTGCAAAAAAAAAAAAAAAAAAAAAAAAAAAAAAAAAAAAAAAAAAAAAAAAAAAAAAAAAAAAAAATACAGTTAATTCAAGAAATCATTTGTGAAAATTTTCGTGAAAATATCTCATCAAATGCACAAGTTTTCTGTACTAGAACTTAATATTTATGAGCCAATTTGTATGGCAGCTATATGCTATAGTGATCAGATCTGTTCAAAACTTTCGAAAAATACACTGCGATTTTAAGCAAAAATTTGTGAAAAGCTTCGTGGAAATATCTCATCAAAGGAACAAGTTTTCTATACAATAACTTATTTTTTATGAGCCATTTTGTATGGCAGCTATGTGCTATAGTGCTTTAATCTGAACAGTTTCTTTGCATTATGTGCGGTTTTTTAAAGATAAGCTGTGCTAAATTTCGCGAATATATCTCTTCAAATCAAAAAGTTTTTCATACAAGGACGTGACTTTGGTCGTTGGGTTTATATGACAGCTATATGCTATAGTGATACGATACTAGCGGAAAAGGAAGAGTGCAAAATTTCACCGTAATACTTCAACTACATTGTGTGCGCACTTTGGGCCAATCGCAATGATGAAATGGGTCTAAAATTTCTAAAATAGGGGTTTTTTCAGTTTAAATTTCTATATTCTCTTATTTGCCAAATTTACTTTGATAATTTTTTTTGGCCTTACGTGTAAAACTTTGTTCACACGATAACTCTTTTATATGACCCAAACCGGTTTTTGTGAGCGAGAGTACGAAAAAGAACGACTAAAGAATCGTCTATAGACTAGCACAGCGGGAATATGTAAACAGCTCCATTAACAATTTCAACAATTAAATTTTTATGCGATTTCCTTTTCACATATACTAAGCCAGCGTCTATTTTGCACTTATTTACAACAAAAGCCAGAGATAACATTTCCATTTCCTAAGCCTAATAATTGTATTAATGAGTAAGTAAAAACGTTGGACGCACATGTACATATATGAGATCGAAACTGTAAAATATTTACGATTATAATTTAGCTAAAATGTTTGCTTTTTTGCTTGTTTCGTTAGCGAAACTGCCGATAAGTACGAGTATTGGCTATTAAATATATATAACTAGTCAATTCATATGTTGTACAGAAGAGTAAGAGTCTTAATACTATTAAGAATACAGCGCTAGAGCTGCAAACCGATTTCGCGTTAAACCTAAGAATATTACAAGTTACATTTTGGCTAAATGCTAGCGAATAATTATTTAAAAATATGTATAAATGTATATATATATATATATATATACTTAATTGTGTCTAAATATTGTGGCTGGAAGTTATGCGTGTGTTTGTGTTTGTGATTGTGTAGGTGTAATCCGATTATTTAAATGTACATATGTCTGCATAAGTTGCATAAATGGCGCGCCATATTTAGTACCCAATGCGGCACTATTGATGGAAGGTGCCTTCTGTGAAAGAAAAAAGTAGGCTGGAAGCAGGTCGCAGCCTGTCATATAGGTTTTCAAAGTTATAGTAGAAGTTATAGCGGAGTTTATTGATGGTGATACGCTGCTTTAATCCATAATCAAACTATAGTAGTTTGTACAAATTTGGATATGTTATGGGAGAGAATATTTCTGTTATTTCTGTCAGAATCTAACATCTGACAGCTCGTATCATAACAGTTGCTTGCAAGGCTGGCTAGTGGCACATGATATTAACACTAAAAAGTAGTTTTTAATTATTTGTTTTTGCTGCTGGGTAACTTTAGTTTAATATATGTATATGTGTGCCTATACATATACATTAGGGTGTCTATTATTTACCAGGTTGTTTATTTATTATTATTATATTTTTTTTATTATTATATTTTTCAAATGGTCACTGGAGTTAAATTTTTTTCAATAGAAAAGGATGCACCTCAAACAAGCACTATATTTTCAATCTAAAACGTGTAAAGTTAATATTTCTTTTCCCATGTATTTAATATCGGATGTTAGCTTGTTTTCATTAAAGAAATAAATTTAAAACTATAAAGAAAATTATATTTAAATGCAAAATTTTCTGCTCTACAAAAAAGTCTTGAAGCATTATTTCATAAAACCACAGCTTTACTAGTTATACGCTGTCAAAGTTAGACATCCTTGAAACCGAGTCTTCATACAGTGGACTTATACATTTTGTGTTGCTCATACGGCATGGTGTACCATGTGAGTACAGTATGTTTAATGAATAAGTACAAATGCATTTTTTCATAAAACCACTGCTTTACGCGTTATCAGCAGTCATAGTTATATATACAGGTCCTTAGCTTTCATACAGCTGACTTATACATTATATGTTGCTCATACGACATGGTGTACTATATGACAAGTACGACATAACTTTAACTGCGTATAACTTTTAGCGGAATTTTTTTACAAAAAAATTACACAGACCAAATTTGTGGAGCGGAAAATTTTGTATGAGAATATCAGCTCTTCAAAAGTGAAGGGTTGTTTGTTTTGAAGTTGAACAGTTTATTGCTGAGGAAAAAAAAATCTTATAGAAAACAAATAGGAAAAGAAAAGTGATTCAGACAGCTTTTAAATTGAAAATAAAGCGCTAGTTTAGAATAAATAATGTTTTCCGGCCAAAAACTAAAAATTTTAACAAATGCTAGAGAAATAAGGGACACCCTAACATTCATTTATATCACGTAACACTAATATGCGCACTCATGTGTGGCTTCTTTTGACATGTTGTAAGTTGTCAAATTGACAGGACGCTGCCGTGTTATGCAACTTCAGTGCGCCGCATTATTGCAATAAACCAAAAAATAATTTAATACCGTTAATTGTATACAATTAACGCAAAGTGTAAAATGTCATTCACTTGGGAAATTTCACAATGCCATGGCATGTTGTGCACCAACATATGCACTGTATATATGGCGCGCGCACAACAACTATACAACCGCGAAAAAGCGCCTGGTATTGAAACACAAAAAAATGCAAGCCAAAGGGAGTGTGTAGTACAGTTGAAGCACGTGCTTTACTGTGGCCGCGGCAGCTGGGTTATGACTGCCGTTGGTGGTCAGATGCCGAGCGTATTGGCGCCCGGCAGCTGATAAAGTGTGGCTGCGGTTGGCATTTCCAGGCCTTGCACCGAGAGCAGATCGCTTAGCGGGTAGCCGAGGGAGGCGGCAGCAGTCGCCGCTGGCGATGGACGTACTTGCGTGGCTGTTGGCGGCGCTAAATGGCCTACCGCGGCTGGAGCGCGTAAGCCGCCAACAGCGGCAGCTGCCAACAGGCGTTTATAGCCAACAATGGCGGCGGCATCGTACAGAGAAGCCGCTTGTGGATTGGTGGCAGCCGCAGCAGCGGCATACTGCAGTAAAGAGGGTGCGGCCGTCGACGGTTGTACAGTTGCTGTGGCAGCTGAGAGTGGTATGAGTGTGTGTGTGGCGCCGGCGGTGGCTGCTGCAACCGCATTGGCTAACGTTTGTTGTTGCTGTGCAGCGGCTGCCGCCACCACAGCAGCTTGCTGTTGTTGCTGCTGCTGTTGCTGTTGTTGTTGGTGTTGTTGTTGCTGCTGCTGATGGTGGTGATTGGCAGCGGCTGCAGCAGCGGCCGCAGCAGCCGCCGTAAAGTGTGTCGGTATGGAGTAGGGTGTGTAGCGTAACGAGGTGGTGGCTGTGGGCGCACCAGCGCCAGCGCCCACGCTTGAGCCGCCGAAAATGCCGGCATGCGGATGTGCCGGATGGTGATGATGATGGTGGTGGTGGTGAGCGCCTGAGCTGGTGGCAGCCGCAGCGCCGGCAATATTGTGGTGTGTCGCAGTGGCAAATGTACTACTGATTAGACCGCCACCGTTGGCATTACCGCCCCAAACTACCAACTCACCGTATGCAGAGCGACCGGCAGCGCGCGTCTTGGCCAAGTTGGCCGGCAGCATGACTTCTTTGGGTTGCGCCTTCTTGCATTCGACCTAAAAATAAACAAAATATGAAACATCAGAAAATCTTTTTTTTTCTTTCTATGAAAGTTGCTCGGGTTTGTGGGTTTTGTGTGTATCAAAGGATAGAGCGGAGAGAGTTGGAAACAAGTTGTTGTGGAAATATGTGAGCACTCACCATTTTGTTGTTGATCTCATGGAAATGAATTTCACAAACTTTATCTACCACATCCTCACTCTGAAATGTAACGAAGCCAAAACCTGAAACAGAAACGGAAAGTGCACAAATTAATAAATTAAATTACTAAATATCAAGGCTACAAAGTTGTCGACAGTGCAGCAATAGCAGTTGGGCATTAAGTATGAAGAGGAATCAAAGATATACGAGCGCAACGCACAGCTGGGTATTGAAAGCTACCGTTAAAGCGGCGGCTGCCTAGCATGCCTTTAGTCGGATAACGCACGCAATTGTTGAAGCCTGCTGCTGCTGCTGCTGCTCGGTTGCATGGTCGTTGGGAATTCACAATTCGACCAAAGTCGGTCGGCCGGAGCTTTTGTGGGCTGTGGTTTGTAAAATGTTGAGTTATCGCTAACGTCTTCTGTGGGCAGTGAAGTGGATCTCAGTGCCAAGCCGAAAGTTTTGCTCTACTTCAAGGCTCCGTTTGCGTCTTTTTCATTCAATCAACAACAAACCACAATCGCAGCAACTGAGCCATCAACTCTTGCACTTATGAATTCATCATAACGTAACAGGCGAATTCAGTGATTCTACCGGCCATAAACATTGAGCCGGAAACTTCAGCCGGAAGTGGCGAACATTGAAGTGAGTCTGCCTGGTTTATATGCATGTGTATAGGTATACGAACATTTGTATGGCAAGATGCCGTTACAAATTATATATAAAAATTTCGTTTGAGTATTGTGCTCAAACAGAAACTATATTTGGCGATTAAAATTTTACATTTGGTGCTATCGACGATTGTATTGAGTAAAACCGCTCGCTGGTTCAGGGGTTCAAGCTTCAGTTTCTATGTAATGCATATTTACAGGAAAGTTTTGAAAGTCTCAAGGATTTTAATTGTTTATAGCCATCCGACAGATCGAATACTTGTCATTTCTTTACACCATTATTGGAAATCTTTTCCATAACTTGCAGACAGTTAATCGAAAAAACTTCATTTTAAGAAAAATACTGTTCGAGTGAAGACCTTTGTTCAACGAGGAAATTTTCTCGTATGTATATGGGAATATAAAAGTCAACCAGAGAATCGGAAATCATTATTTATTCGATATTGACTGATATTGATTCGGTTAAATATGCATGTATTGGTATAAGAATATATAAGGTAGAAATACATATTATGTGTAAGAAAGCATGTTCTTATATTAAGTATTTGGGGGCTAGGGAAACTATGTATCCGGTTTCTTCATCTTGTCTAAATGGGCACATAACGTTAACATTTTTCTCTTTTGACATATTTCTTCCGTAGGGATTGTCATTTCATCATAAAAAGCTATACTATCCAAGAACGAGTGAAAATTGTTAAAATTTACTACCGATGTACATCATAATCGTCCTGTCAGATCAACAATTGGGCGTCTAATGGAAAAGTTTTAATCCACAGGCACAGTAAAAAATGTTCCCGTGCCAGCAAGACAAAGAAGTTCTCGTAGTATCGAGAATATTGCTGCCGCTAGCGCATCAATTGACGAATACCCAAATAAGTCCCTCACACTTCCGTCTCAGGCGTCGGGAATCTCATTGACGTCATTGCGGCGAATTTTGCGCAAAGATTTTGGCCAGAATCGTCGAAAACGATCCGGATTTTCATTGAATAATCATTTTGAGCGATGAGGCTCATTTCTGGTTGATATCCCAAACCGTTTTTGTAGCGCTGTAATTGAAAAATCTGTGTTCCCAGAAGCTGGGAGTTAGTCACCATTTTACTAAACCACTCTCGGCCGAAGGCTGGATATACAAAAAAGCTTGATTTGATACAAAAAAACAACTGCTGGACCGAATCAACGGCTGCGATATGCTGCTGAAACGAAACGAACTCGACCCAGTTTTGAAGCGGATGTTGACTAGCGACGAAAAATGGATCACATGCGGCAATATCAAGCAAAAACGGTTGTGGTCGAAGGCCGGCAAATCGTCCCAAACAGTGGTTAAGCCGGGATTGACGGCCAGGAAGGTTTTGTGGTGTGTTATCTAACAACACAACAACAACTGGACCGCTTGAAGCAGGCAGTCGACCAGAAGCGTCCAGAATTGGGCAACAGGAAGGGTGTAGTATCACACCAGGCTAGCGCCATATCAGACACTTCGTTGATGACGCGTCAGAAGCTACGGGAGCTCGGATGGGAGGTTTTATCGCATTCACCGTACAGCCCGCGAACGCCATTGTTGGTGTAAAATTGAACTCAAAAGAGTTTGTGGAAAGTGGCTGTCCGAGTTCTTCGCAAATAAGTAGGGCGACTTCTACGAGGGGGTTATTATGAAGTTGCCCTCTAGGTGAAAACATATTATCGAACGAAACGGCGCATGTTTGAACTAAATCCGATCACTATAACACTTTTTATAAAGCATTGAGTAAAGAACAAAAAGCAAAAGGGAGATATTTGACAACCTATTATAAAAATTTTTGAAATTGCGAGAGACTTTATACTATGATCGAATTGAAAGGTGAATTTGTCCATTTCATCTCCTCCTCCTCCTCCTGCTGCAATACACTTATGCAAACGAATTTTCCAGTCATCATAGCACTTGGAACACGAATAAACAATGCAGTAGGAGATGGTGCATTATGGCACTTCTTTGTTCAATAATAAATTCAAAAATGGTAAAAATCGAGGAATTCACTTTTAGAGCCTCACAAAACAACGCGTATCTCAAATACGAATGAATATTTTGAGAGGAAATTTAGCATAGATGTCACTAACAGTGCTACCAAATTACAGAAAGAAAAAATTTACCGATTCGAAAAACATGCGAAGTATAAATTAAAAATTCAATTTCGATTTGAGAGAAGAAAGTTCCTTTAGTAAACTTTTGGAAACGAACTTTAAGAAAATTAAACTAAATTAATTATTTCAGTACATTGCAGACTTGCTCGGTTTCATTTCAACTGAAATAAGTAAATTTCAAGGCTCACACACTCTGATTGAATTACACATAGCAAATGTAGGTGCAAATGATGGGTTTATTGATTGCATTTTTGTTCTTCGGAATTTGCACTTGTAAACAAAGCCTTGCCGTATATGATTGAGCCCGCATGCAGGTGTGATTCTTCCCGTGCGTGTAATTAACTAAGAATTTACTATTTACGAGTGTTTGTGCCTTTCTCTGAGTTATTATCGTTGGCAAGTTGGAATATGCTTAAGCGGTGGCGGTGGGAGTGGCAGGAGTTGAAACGATTAGTTTAGATTACTCCTTAGTGTGTCATTCAAAGTTTTACTTGCGTATGCATAGACTAGTATAAACATTTTTTATTTAACGGTATCTTTTTAATTTTATTCAATTTTTTGTTTATTTGTATAATACTTGAAAACAGGTATAGACTTATTGACTATGAAATTTCAAAATTTTCCTTTTCAAATTAAGTCTGACTTCAAAATTTTCTTGTAGATCTGACAAATGATATTTTTTTGGTTTTATATAAACTCTAAAGCGGCATAGTCTCTCTGCATATAAAAATGGTTTCCTCTCCACTTCTCGAAAGACCGTTGCAGTCAGTAAGGCTGTACCAGCTCTAACTACTTTCTCTATTTCTTCCTTCTGCTGATAAACTTGTATCTATGTACATACATGCATAACGTTTAGATAGAGCTGTCATTTACGTAAATACGGTTGTTTGTAACCTTATACGCCAGATGCTGCTCAAGGAAAGCTCTTGTTATGCTAAAAGTCTGCAGCGCTACATACTAGAATCCTGCGTTGACACACACATATACACACACGCTGCTAAATATTTTTGTTCACTCCGAGTTTCTTCGCAATTGGGCACAACTACATACATAAGTGGCGTGTGGTGCACTGAGAGCGATTTGCGTTTTCCACATTATACAACAGACAGTACCGTGCTTTTATCTGTAAACAATTTTTTCCGCTATTAGGGCGCGGCTAGCAAGTGGGGTGAAAAGTGCAGAGTTGCACTGATTTAGAACTTTGCTGCAGATAAGGCGGCTTGGAATCGGCGTTAGGTGCGCGCTTACCACACTTGGCGCCACAAACTATTTACGACGCACTGTTTTGGTGGCGCTTGGCTAGACAGCCAATAGCTTAGCAAAAAATCAACTAACCGGCAAGTAAGTTGCAGCGTCCAAGTGCATTCGCCTCAAGTTGTGGTTGGCAGCGAATTTTTTTTTTTTTTTTATATTATTTAATTTTATTTTGATGCATGCTTACATTTTAACGCATATATAGGGTAGTCGAAAAAGTCTTTTCGTATTTTGTCAATAGATGTCGTTGCAGTCGTATATTTCCAGCGCTACCTATCATTTTGTGTCAATGTATAAACATATTGCTTAAGCTTCATTTAACAAATAAAAAAAATTAAACTCGGAGTAGTTGAAAAAAAAAAAAAAAAAGTTACAGCTGTTCAAAAATGATTAAAAATAATAAAGAAATTCGCTATATCTTGAAATCTTCATATAAAAAGGGAAGAATGCCACGCAAGCCACGAATGAAATTTCTGAACTTTATGGAGACGACGCCGTATCAGTTCGTGTAGCAAAGTAATGGTTCGCTCGCTTCCATTCTGAAAATTTCGATGTGAAATATGCATCTCACTCTGGTCGACCCATCGTTGAAAAAGTCGATGAAATTAAGAAAAATTTTGACAAGAACATGAATTGTCTGTGAAAAATTTAATGGACCGAATCAACAATTGCGATTCTTTGCTGAAACGAAATGAAAAAGAACCATTTCTGAAGCGAAGGGTAATAGTAGACAAAAAGTGGTTCAAATACTATAATAATATGCGAAATAGACCATGCTCCAAGAGTGGAAAAGTTCAACAAATGGTCGCAAAGCGAAGACTAACGCCTCGAAAGGTAGGACTGGAAAGGAATCATTCACTATGAGCTGCTTCAGTTTGAGCAAACGATTGATTCTACATTTCATTGTGAACTACTGATGAGATTAAAGCAAGCAATCAAAAAAAAAAAAACACAAAAAAAAAAAAAAAAAAAAAAAAAAAAAAAAAAAAAAAAAAAAACGGCCAGAACTAGTGATGGGACAAGGGTAAATACCCAAAAGG